AATAGCCAATGATCGGTTACAGAGGCCATGACCTTCAAACTGTCCTCTCTCCGGAGGCTGAGCAGTTCTTCTGCTCTTTCTTTCCGATCTGCGGCCATAGTTGTCTCTAACATGACCTATCGGGGTATTCGATAATTCTACTTCTAATCCTTAATTTGAAGGTGGCCATGTGTGTCCAAATTTTACCTAAATTTTCACGCAGTCGAAGGTTGGAACCTTTCCTGGCTAGCTTATTGGCCCTGTAATATCCTGCAATATATTTATGTCCCGGGACCCATATGAGGCTGACCATGCAGACGATGCTAATGTCATTTACGGCTGCCAGGCATTCCTGTGCATCTTAGCATTACTGCCTTCATTGATTTGATGGCCGCGTTACTGTCTGTTACGGTGTGTGTTTTAAGGTACATAGCCACCTCCTTTATGGCTTGAACTTCTGTTTGATAAAAGATGCAATAATCCGGAACTCATACTTATAATTCCAATCCTAATTTCTCAGAGGAAAGTCCATTGGCTACTTGGATCCATCCGTGAAAAAATTGAATTCCCCCTTCTTCATGGTCTTGATGCTTGCCTTTCTCTTCTTGACGGGATTTTCGTCTTTAGGAGCCTGTCTAAAGCGTGTTCAGGGCGGCAATAGTCGATTTCTTGGTTATAATCACCCATAGTGTGAAGTATAGAGGCGTCCAGTATTCATACATTCTCGTGGCTTTAGCCCTGTCGAACAGTGTCTTATTATATTCTCGTAACGAGGATAATTGCTTTGTCCACCAAGGTGGTTTTGTTTTCCCTGTGTATTGAACAATAGGACATCCGGCTGCTAAGGAAATAACCACGGCTTTAGTCACGGCGAGGTATCTTTGGCATAAAGTCCGTACTTCATTATTAAAGTGTTCATTTACTAAGTATCTAAATCAGAGTTGTCCAGCGAGAGCTTTCATTTTATGCTTGCCCTATATAAATTGTACAGAGAGCTTTTAAAAGCTTTGACACGCGTGCCTATGAAGTATCCAACTGTGATCTAAATATGTACGTATATAGCAGTGATGGGCAGAGAGATATTTTACTCTGCACGCGCCTATACAAAATGTATAGAAAGCTTAGAAGAGCTTTCCCCTCGGGCAAGGCAGCGCCCATCACCGGTACATAGGCATTCACATTAATCCGGTTTTCTTAGCTTTAAAATTACTTGAGTTAAAGCGCCCCAACACAAATATATGTAAGTGTAAACATGTTCTTATATCCAAGTGTAAACATGTTCTTATATCCAAGTATAGATATGTATGTACATAAATGAAAAGATTAATTTGAAATTCAAAGCTTATATAAATTTAGCCATTAACTTGTTACTTAAATTTCGTTGTAGCACCTGTAGACAACATTTTCGGCAATGTCTTGAAAGAAAAACACGATTCTGAGTTGTGTCATTTCAAATTTAAAGAACATATGTTTTTACAAGATCACACAGTTTAACACACTAGGTTGCGGCAAGTCAGTCATGCAAATGTTACAATTAAGCCTAGCTGGGCGTGTTTAATATGTCACTGCCGAGGATACTCACAGCCACTCCATATGAAAATCCAAGCAAGCATACCTGCGAAAATTTGTGCTAGCGCATACATATATAACCGTACGTATAGGGTGATTCAAGGAACATGCAGGTCTTTGACAGCAATTATTTATGATATTTTTTTACTCTTATTTTTTTCCAGACAATTGGGACTACAGGCAAACTTATTCATGGAGCGACACTCAGTTGAACAATTTCTAAAAGTGATCCAAATTTTTTATGCGTAATTTTTTTTCGGTCAACATTACCAGCCATACGAGTCAAAAATCAGACGTTTGTTGCTGGAACAGGTGCAAAACAAGACTATATAGGTCGTTCGGCCGAAATTATTGCTGCTGTGGAACTTAGCGTGGACCGGACAGCGACAATCTCAATTCGTCGTCGTGCACAGCAAGTGAACCTTTCCTATAGCACCGTTCAAGAGATTTTAACATAGGATCGCATCATCTCACGAAACGACGACGTCCAATGACTCTATTGGACTTCGTTCTCTGGGACTACTTGAAAAATGTGGCCTATACAAATAAGCGGAGACGATTCCAGAGATGTAGAATGAAATCATGCGTATCCTGTTTTGCTACATTGAATAAAAAACATAATGAAATAAAAACGAATCATTTCGAAAAATGTTTTTATGTTTTTATTATAGAGGAAAATCTTCGGGCTTATTGAATCACCCTATACGTCTGTACTATGTAGTGAGCACCTGCATATTTTCACGTTTATATAGCCGTGAGATTACCAACACACAGATTTGTGGCATTGAGTTGGTTGGCTGGCTACTTGCGAATGGAACGAAGCACTTTAAACGCAAAACTGTCTTTGAAGCTTTAAAGTCAAGCTCATGATTTTTTAAGGCAATTTTTAGTAAATCTTTATCATCTCATTATCAGAGGGTTGCTTGCTTGTACATACATGCGACAAAGTAGCATTTCTAAGAAATTTGGTTTGACCATTTATTGTTAAGGCTTTCTTTTGATTGGATTATCGATTGAATAAAAGTGGAAATTGTGTAGATGGCAAAATAGGCACTAATCGAATACTTTGTCGTACAATTTAAAATTCAAGAAAATTCGTTTGTAAGCTGCAAGCAAAATTTCCTGATTTACTTGTATTCTGATTTATGTAAGTATTTAATATTTGTTGCTTTACTGCACCGTTTTGCCCTATTGTGTTATGCGCATTTGGCTGCCAAGTAATTTGCATATTATTGCGGTGAATGCCACAATAATTGGAAGGGATTGCTTACTGCTGAATTGCGTTTTCTGTGAAATCAATTTAAGTATATGCACAATGATGGTAATTTTTGAGATAAAATATTAAATATTATTTAAGCTAAGATATATGTTTATTTGCATGTCTCATCTAAACAAAATATTTGCATTGAAATCACACACAATTCACTTTAACCAAAATATTCACCATACAAAGTTTGTCTTTGTGCGTATTCTGGAGATTTTTTTTTATTCCAGTCGGCAATGAACTCTTATGTTTTCCCTAAGATATATGTGTGAACAGGGGTATACTCTGAGTCTTGCAAAGCCCTTGCACGGTGCATAAAATGCTTGGATTGCACTGTAAAAAGCAGTTTTCGTTGCTTCATTTGAGGTGAATTGTCTCTGCGCTCGGTTGGGCTGCAATTCCAAATTCCCAACTCCAGTGAAATGAAAAATCGACTGAAGTAGGGGCGATGAATGCCATTATAAGATTGAGATTAATAATAAGATTACGATTAAGATTAGGACTCGCATTAAGATTAAATGAAAGAGTAAGATTTAGATTAGGACAGGGATTAAGACTAATATTAAGACTTAGGGCAGGTTTCTCCAACTTAACTTAACTTAGTTAAGTGAATTTTTTAGACTAGGTCATGAATAAGCTGCATAAAAAGTAGGCCAAATTTTGACTTAAGTCCAAAAAGTGGCTTAACTAAGTTAAGTTGAGTGCGAGAAACCAGACCTTAGACTAAGAGTGTGACTAAGACTTACGAAGAAAAATACTCATTTAATCTGGTGGGCTATACGGTTAGTAGAACGAAAAAGTTTCACGCATGATTTTATGATTTCTTTTTTTACTTAAGATCGCTTAAAAATTTGTTTTTTTTTTTAAACATAATTGTATAAAGCTCTAGCATTCATAGTGTAATGGGTGATTCATGTAGACCTTGGTTTTTCGATCTCAAAACACGTAAAACAGAACTGGATGTCGGAACCTTTTTTACCACTCGAAAGAAGCACCTCTGACATTTACTTTTTAAAAATAATTTCAGTCAAATGCTGGCCGTGACTACGATGCAGGTGGTCGAGATTAAGTCTAGACATACTTATCTCGAAATCTATACATAGAAAGACCTCTTCTTATTTTCTTGGTTGGATTAGGCACTAAAAACAGAAAACCAATAACCACAGCATTAAATTCGAGTTTTTTGTAAAGAAAATAGTGGAAAGAAATTCAGAATGAAAGCATTGGATTTTATGGAGTTATATATATATGTAGTATGTACATACTTACATTTATGTTCCCCTTAAAAATTAATTTATTAAATTTCTTCGGGCATAGATTTTATATTTTTAATTTTTCTGAGTTTTAATTTTTTGAATTTTGGATTGTGTCGTTATTGCGCCATCTGTTACTCAAAACGAAATACCTACAAAAAAACATACTTTTTGTATCCTTCTCTCACTTCCAGCGCAAGGACGTGTTTGCGAAATGATGATGAAGTGATTTTGTATGGGAAATCATTTATTCCCATATGTTTGAATGAAATAAACATACTTAGAAGATATCAACCAATACTTCCCATATAACAAACGAAAGGAAAAGGCTTGAATTTTTGACTAAAGGAAACAAAAACAAAATCATTTGAGCGCTTTTCGAGCATTTTGGTATTAAAAAAAAAGTTGCAGATTTTTTCAAAAATTTTTTTGCCTTTTAATGCTCAATATTTGTTGAATTAATATGAAATTTGTACACGATAATATTGCAACTGCTCCAAAGAGCCTATATCCCGAAAATTAGTTAGTTGCTAGAGCACTTTAAAGACTCAAAATTTACCCACAAATAAGCCAATATTTACCGTTGTTTCTACGACAGAAGCCATAGGTTTGGAATATTATCTTTGAAACTCCACACATTTCTTTGAAATCGCTTCATTAGTTCTCGTGCAATAAGCTTTTTTCGTGAAGCTCTAAAAATTACAACTACAACGTTGGAGCATAGCCTCCATATCGAAACGTAAGACGTATTCTACGTCAAAGGTCATATTTCGGAAGGACAGCCAGTCTACATATTCCGACGTTTGAAAAATTTACTTAAAAATTAAATTTATAAAATAATTAAATAAATTGAAGTGATCATGTAACACAACACATTTACACGCACACAAATAAAGTAATAAATGAAAGGCAATATTTACGAATATCACACTTACAACATTGTACTGTTGCCATTGCTGCCTTTACTCGCACTACTGCACTTGTTCACACCGTAGAGCAGCAGCGATTGATTGCACAAATCCAACGCTGATGTCCTGCCGATAAGTTGCGAATAATTGTTTCGCATATCCTCCACAAAGCTGTCAATAGCAGTGGGTTGAATATTGCTGCCGCCGCCGCCGCTGCCGCTGCCCTCGAATCCACTATGGAAACCCAAGTTGTAGGGCTGCAGGCTTTCAACAACACCCGTTGCCTCTATGGCAACAGCCGCCGCTGGAATATGCGAATCAAGCATTTTACCACGTACCTACATAACTACCGCCACGTTTTTAGGCTATGGATTTTGGGGTTTGCTTGCTTAACATATACTTAGATTTATCGTTTTTTTTTTGTGTAGGCGTTGTGCTTGATTTTTCTGCTTTGTTGCTCTTTCTTTCGGCATGATTTACATAAACAATCTCTACTAAGCTGTTACTCGTATTTGCTGACATTTAAGCATCTTGTGGGCAGGTTGATTTTAATCCCGTTATTGGATATCTTCGTGCCATTATTAAAACCACTTGTCTTGCGTCAGTGTTTTAAGCTGATTTTGATGATATATAAAGACGGCCTTATGCGGCATGTTGATTTTGGGCACCATTTTACCACACGCTGAAAAGAAAGAGTGAAAAAATGAGTTTCTTCGTAAAAGAATTTAAATTTTGTTTTGTGTCTGAAAATTATGGAGATGTGTGTTTGCCCGTGATTGACCTTCCATTTTTTCTGTGTCCATCTATCGAACTGTTTGCCAATTTGTTGGTGCTTAAACTTTCTCAGCGCTATCAACTTTCCTGCAGTTACCCTCATATTTTTATGGATTTCCTACTTTGTCCTATGTACCCCAACCGACTGTACATTATGCGGCTTCTTATGAGTGAAAAGGAAAAAATACAAAAAAAAAAAAACAAATGCAAATATTTACAGCTTTCTCCTTATCATAATTTCGAATTAATGACTTCAATTGCGTTTGTTTTTCATGCTATCACTTGCACACTGTGGTCTCTTTGAGATACAAATTTTAAATTTTTCCACCCAGCTCGTTTTCTATTTTTCTATTTTCCTATTATTTCTATTCGTATATTACTTATGAGGTTCGGATAACTTTGGCAATCGAAACTGTATTTGCATATGTATGTATGCATGGTGAGATGTTGATGGAAACGCCACAAAGGGTACGAAGGCATACAGGGAATATAAATTTCCACCGAAATTATCAGCATAAAAGTCCATTGTATACGGAAATTCACTGTTGGCTGTGCCTAAGTCAACTTGGAACTTCTCTGGAGAGATTATTTACTACCACAAAGCAAAGAACAATATCCTCTGTACGTTCTCAGCTACACGCGAATCTTAAGCTGGGATCACACGATTTGTACATTTGGCTAAAAATTTGTCAAATTCATAGACAAATCATATGAACGCTAAATTACATTTGTCATTTATCAGAAAAGCCAAATATTTGCCTTCTTGTGGCAAATGAAAAACAACCGTGGTGGCCAAATCGTGTGAATGCAATGCTGCTACATAAGCCAAATAAAAATTGCGCAAATGACCAAATATCTGATTTGCCACTTGATGACAAATGCCAGTGACAAATATACAAATATTGTTGAGCGGTATTGCCATTTCGTGCTTGTGAACCTTTGTATTTTCCAATTTTGGTAAAATTTTATTATTTAATATAATATTCGTATCCGAAAACTACCGAAAAATATCACGTTATTTGAAAACAATAATTTTAAAATATTTGCTCAAACTGAAACATGTACATATACGTATTCGACAGTAGCTGAGTGCGCAGAGAAGTGTGCGACTATTTGTAACCTTCATGAGGTCCCAGGTTCTTATGCCGACAGACGAACATATTAAAAGTATAATTAATTTCTGAGTATAATTAACTATGAAAAAGCATATTTGAAGTTCAGAATGAAAAAATTCAGAAAACCAACTGGAAAAGTAATCGGCCCACAACCCTTCGTGGCACTTTACTATTCACCTTTCTTTCAGTTTTCGGATCTCTTTCCGCAGTTTTTGCTGGCTATACAATTATACATACATGCATATCGTCGTATAAAGTACAAAACCGCGTATCGTCATTCTGAAAAATCGCGTAACTGACATTGGCTGCCAGAAATTGAATTTGCTCACACAAACTCTTGGCTTAATCCTTATCCATTCGTCCTGAAATATACTATCCAGAAATGCGATTGCTTTATAAAAAAGAGAACCATTTTGAAATATGAGTGTTTTTACTATCTAGACAATAATTTATGCAACCTCACATAGGCAGCTTTGCATTTGTTGATACGCGGTTTTGTACTTTAAACAGCGATATACAGATTATTAAAGACGATCTAATTTACACTGTGTGACAAAAAAAAATGTATATAGTTTTTTCGAGGTTCACACTTGTTGTAGGTCTATTCAAGCAGTAAAATCTGCATACTCAGAATTTTAAATACACCCTCAAAATCTGGGCTTAAGGTCAAAAACCGCGTTTTTCAAAGGGTGACGCACAGGTATACTTGCTCGTAACTTTTTTTCTGTTTACCCGGTGAAAAATACGTATTTATGTATGTGATTCAAGATAAGACATTTCGCTGCTTACAACAATGTTTAAATTGATAATTTATCTTAAGAAATGGCAAAGGACTTAAAAAAAATTTGTGTGGTAGAATCTAAAAAAAATGTGGTAGATTTCAAAAAATCTGGTAGAACTCAGGTTTTGGATTAAAATTTTTCCAAAAATTTAAAAAAATCTGCAAGGTTTCTCCTAAATTGCAAACATTTTAATTAGAATCTAAAACGAAATTAATTTTAGTATAATAAAGTGCAAGATTGAAGTTGATAAAAATTGCGTAGGTTTTGGCAATTTTTTTCCTTTACAGTTTCGAACATATTTTGAAAGATTTCTGCAACCTTGCAGAGCGCTGCCAGCTTTTCTTTTTATCACATCACGATGTAGCGAACAAATGTGGCTCGTTCCAAAAATGCTGCTTGGGATTTGCCGATTTTGACAATTCTCAAGTAAAAGTAAACAACGCTTTAGAAATTTGAGATGCACTGAAATTTGCTAATGCTTTCACAAAATAGCCGGTTTTTATCATTTTCGCTATTAATTCTTTTTATAAATCATATGTTTTGCAATTTAACACAATAAAACCATGTTTGATGTCGAAAAATTGAATATTGAGAAAATTTACTATTTTACAGTTTATGTTATCTTCCCATTCTGCCTGTTGTTAGTGTTTAGTGTTGGACAATTTTTGCTCTTAAAATTAAGAAAATTATGTTGAGCAAAAATAAAACTACTCAAAAACGCGAATATGTGGTAGATTTCAGACCTTGTGTGGTAGGTGGCAGATCTACAACAATGTGGTAGAAGTCCGATCACTGAAAGGAATCTTACAGAGTATATCGATGGCTGAGTGGAAGATCGATCCATCTCGGCAACCAGTTCGAAAACGCCCTATCTCAGAAAATTTGTTAACAACGCGCTAGCTCAGAAAACTTTTCAAGAACGCCCTACTTCAGAATTTCGTTGAAAAACGGCCTATCTCAGCTGCCGATTCAAAAACGCCCTATATCAGCTTATTTTCAATGTATTTTCGTTTGAGATAGGGCGTTTTTGAAATGAATTCTGAGATAGGGCGTTATTCAACCAAATTCTGAAATAGGGCGTTTTTCAATCAAACTTTGAAGTAGGGCGTTCTTGAAAAATTTTCAGAGACAGGGCGTTTTTGAACTGGCTTCGAGATAGGTCGATCTTCCACTCAACCATCGATATGCAAAATTTAAATTTTTTAAATTTTTTCATTTTGTTAACTATACATACATAGGGTGCCCATTCTCAAGATAAATTAACCATTTATAAATGGTTGTAAACAACGAAATGTTTTCTCTTAAATGGCAGATGTAAGTATTTTTCATCGGGCAAACAGAAATAAAGTTACGAGCAAGTATATGCTCAACCTATGAAAACGCGTTTTTTACCTTCAGCCCATATTTTGAGGGTGTATTCAAAATTCTGAGTACCTGTGCGTATATATTATTTTTGTTTATTTCACTTCAAATTTCACGAAATCATAAATGCAAAAGTATGGTTGACACCGGATCAACTGTTTAAGTATTTATGACCAAATGGTTAAATCGTGTGAATGAATTTGGACAATATTTGTTACTTTACTGTTGTGCGCAAATGTGTGCCAAATCATTTGGATCTTTGGCAGCCAAATCTTCTGATCGCAAAACAAATCATTTGTACATTGCTATCCAAATGCGCAAATGTGGACAAATCTAAATTTGGCATTTTGTGTACAAATGTACAAATCGTGTGATCCCTGCTTTAGGTCGTTTCCTTTTCTACAAAAATTGTTGCCTTCTCATTGTCCTTTCCTTAGGGTTGTGTGTAGCAAAATGTTTGGGTAGAAATGAAAACGCCATTATTCATGCCAGCTTGCTTATATGCCTTTGTAAGTTTGTTACGGGGTAGTCATGAACACATGGCACAACGCAGCAGGCATAAATTGAGCTGGTGCATGCATTACGTTTTTATCATAACGATCTGATGAAAAATGCATGTATGTTAGCATGGACGCATTATGGCTTACGAACAATTATACTCTATTGCTTTTTGTACTACACAAAGTCATTTATGCGAGCAGGAATCGGAGTATCGCTCCGCTTTCATTTCGCTCCGGGATCCGCTCTTAACTCCGCTTCCGCTCCCAATAAAAAACTTTACTTACATTATTTACTTACAAATCGGGCCATAACCGCAAAAAAAGTACGCAAATTTTTTTTAA